GTGGGGGGCTGCTCAGTGGATGGAGCAGAAGAACCTCAGGCCCCAGGAGAGAAGCCGCTGGCACTCCGTGTAGCCGTGGGGGAACCAGAAGTCGGGGGGCCCAAAGGTGGGAGGAAGGCTGGGCCGGGGATGCCAGTGGGGGAGGCCCACCTGGCCTGCCCCCACCCCCAGTGTGGGAAGAAGTCTACCTCCCCGAATCACTAGGTCTGCGGGGACCACCCCCAGCCTGGGGGAAGCAGTGTGGTGGGAGGGAGGGGAGGAGAGCGAACCCCCCTAACTGAACATGTACGAAACAGTGGGGGCCAGCCCCCTGGGGTGATCCGCACCTCCTGGGGAGCCCCCATCTCACCAGCCCGGCTGGAGCCCGAGTGCCAGGCCCACCCTGTCTTCCCAGTCCCTGGCCTGTCCCCTCTCCACGGCCAGCTCCCATCACTCTAGCCAACTCGGGACCAACCAGACCAGCTCCCCATGGATTCCTTTGTCATCCCCACTGGGGGACCCCCAGGAACCAAGGAATTGGGCGTAGCAGGGACTCTGGGTGTTGTCCCCTCTCCAGCCCTTGCACCCCTTCTCCCCCGGCCCACGGTGGGGCGCAGAGCCCCTGCCTCCTCGTTCTTTTCTCTCTGACTCCTGGGCCTCAGCTGAGGACCAGCCCCGGCCTCCATCTGAAGACCTGACCTGGTTCCTGCCAGTGTCCCCCAGGAGTCGGGGACCCGGGCCCAGTCACCTCCTCCTTCCTTCTTTCCAGGATGCTGTCACCAGTGGTTCCATGTCCCAACGACCCCTCAGGCACACGGGCACTGTCAGCCACCCCCCCAGGCACGGTGGCAGCTGGCCTACCACAGCCACTGGAGGGGCGCTGGGGGCTGTTGCTGGGGCCCCCAGACCCCCATCCTGCAGCAGCTGTGGCCTCAGCCCCCACCTCCTAGCTCCCTGCGGCAGCGGCTTTGCCCTGTTCAGGATGCCCAGAAGGGGCCATCTACAACCATCTCTGCCCCCATGGGACTGGCCAGCGTCCCCAAGCTGCCCCCCGCACCCACCAGAGCACCTGCCATGGCCAGCAGCGGCCCAGCCCCGCTCTCCACAGCCGGCACCCTCCTGGAGCCCAGCAGGCCCACTGCCGCCCGGCCCCTGCCCGCCCCGGCAGCCTGTGGCCCCTTCACCTCCTACAGCTCCGGTGCTCACCCAGCCTTCCTGGGGGCCCTCTCCTTGCTGCCTCGCTTCCCACCTGGGCCTGGGGCCGACCCTCCTCCCTCGCTCTGGTCCCTCTCTGGGAGGGTGCTCGTCCCTGACCCTGAGCCTCGGGCAGCCATCTCTGCTTCATCCGCTGGGATCCAAGGCTTTCGGGCCAGGGCTGCCCATGGTGCCTCCATCGCAGGCTGGCCAGGGGCCTGGGCCCAGCTCTCGCCCTGTGCTGACCCCCTTGCTCTGCTTTCTGTCTCACCGGCCCTCCCTCCTCTGGCCCAGCGGGCCATGGAGGACATAGGGCAGGGGTGCTGAGCACCAACTTGCTGGCCAGCTCCGGAGTGGGGGAGATGGTCCAGTGAGCGGCTGCAGCAAGAGGTAGGGAGTGGCCTGGAGGATGGAGAGAGCGATGCAGTAATGGGAGGAATCGGCCCATTCATTGATTCTTTCATTCATTCTGTGACTAGGTATTAAACGCCTACTATGGGTGCCAGGTTCTGTCAGGCGATGGGGTGAGGGAGCAGGGCAGATGGACTGCTGCCCTCCCCGAGCCCACATTCTATAGGTGATGGGGGGTGACGGGGACAGGAAACAAGAGAAATAGGAAGAGTTAAAAGTGCATCACCCCGTAATAGCCACGTTGGGGGGAAAGGCAGCAGGGAGAGAGAGAGGGAGCGTCAGGCTCCGCAAATTAAATAGCGCCATCGGACAAGGCCTCGTGAAGGCAACGTTTGAGCAAAGACAGAGCAGTTCTCTTAAGTGACAGCAGGATCAGCAGATGCAGACTCTGAGGTGGCCTGTCTAAGGGACAGTAAGAAGGTCAGTGTGCCTGGAGCGCAGGGAGTGGGGGAGGGGGAGAGGGCAGATGGGGTCAGCGAGGGCGGAAGGGACAGGAGCCGACTCAGGGTCTGACAGGAGAGTGGACCGTAGGATGCGAGGGTGGACGTGGGAGTCCAGGCCACAGGCGCCGGTGGCCTAACTGCGGAGGTAGAGACTAGGGCCCCAGGTCAGGCATGACCTCGTCACTGGCATCTCTGGGCCACAATGCCCATTTCACACACAGACAAGTAGAGGCTCCGTGAGGTGAGGTCACCCAGCCATCGGGCAGAGTGGGAGCAGATCCACCTGGCCTCCACCTTGGCCGACCTTGACCCAGGTTCTCCTCCTGCCCTCCCAGCGTGGCCCCCGTGAGGCATGGGTCCTGCAGCCCACAGGCCTCCCTGAGAGAGGGTGCGTCATCCCCACCACGCATCGCGAGGCTGGCACAGTGACCCCCACGACTGAGTCCTACCTTTCCGGCACCCCAACTCTAGGTCCAAGAAGTAGCATTCATGGGGGCCCAGGGGAGCAGGCAGGACATCCCCTGCAGAGTGGACGCCATGGTGCTTGAGCATGGTGCCAGGCCTTAACCCAGAATCTTTGCCCTGAATGGCTACTCCTGTCCCCAGCCAAACCCTTTGGCACCCACGCCCTTAGGGTCTGGGCCCCCCATTCATCAGAGGCAGGGACTGAGCTTCCCAGCAGCATCGCTCTACCTGGGTCATGCAGAGAATGCAGGTCGGCCTGGGCTCGGGGCAGGAGTAGTGGCTGTGGGCACGAGGTCACAGAGAGGGAGAGAGGTCAGGGTCAGGAGTGGACAGGAGACTGAGGAGCCTGTGGTGACCAGGGCCTGTTCACGCGAACAGAGCAGGCAGAAGCTGGCACTCGTCTTAAGCATCCGAGGGTCTTGAGTCCGAAGTTTCCTGGGGGAACCATGGCCTGGTGGCTGAGCCTGGTGACCTAGGGCCAGGGCAGCCAAATTCCCACAGGCCTCTGGGCTGGGGCCAGGGGAGTCTAGCCTCCTATTCTTTGTCTGGTGGATCTGGGGTCGGCTCCTCCTGGGGGGCATGGAGGGGCACATCTCGCCCTGGTGGAGGGGGCTGCCACAGAAACCTCCATCTGTCCGAGGTTCGACCTGAGTCACCTCCGGGAGTCGGGGAGGGAGGTGCCGGTGCAGGGAGGGGCTGAGGGCAGGCACTCCGTAGGGCAGACGGGAGGAGGGTGGTGCCTGGCCAGCCTCATTGACTCAGCTTCCCCACCTGTACCCCCTCAACAACCCTGGCCTCCAGATATCCTGACAGAGGATGATGTCTACTGCAGCTGCCTGGCCAAGACCCTCTGCCATGTGCCTGTCCCTGTGACCGTGGGTTTCTATGCCCCCTTTGGCTGCCGCCTGCACATGATGCTGGACAAGATCACTGGTGAGGATCCACCTGTGTTGGGAGTAGGGGTACAGAAAACCCTGCCCAGCCCCATGCTTCCCCAAGATGTCTTTGCCCCCTGAGGCCGGCCTGCCCCAGTGCAGATGCCCGTAACTCACCTTAAACCACATCCCTCCCCGTGCCCACAGCCTCTGCCCCCAGGTCCCCGCTCCAGTTTCCTCTCTGGCTTCCTGGCCTCCAATCTCACCCTGTCCCCTGCCAAATCCACTTCAAGGGATCGAGAAGATACAGATCTAGCCCTGTTGTTCTCCTGCTCAGAAGCCTTCTGTGGCTCCCTGGCATCCTAGGGAGGAAGGCCATATTCTTCACTGAGGCTGCAGGCTCCTTCCTGCCAAGTGTCTACAGGCCCCTGTGCCCCCCAGACTCGCCGCTTCTCCTCGGCCTCGGCTCAGGGCCCGGCACCCACAAGACCCCTACCAGATAGGTATCGATTGAAGACATGAGCTGCAGCCTAGCCAAGATCTGCAGCAGTTTGGACCTAGTTCCAACCCTGCTAGAGCTCAGACCCCAGCTCCAGTTGGCCAGAGGGACTAGAGGTGACTCACCTCCATGTGCCAGCCCCGGAGAGCACCTACTAAACAAGCCAAGTCTGCCCCTGTGTTGTCACAGAGCAGCACACAGGGTCCCAGGAGGAGAAAAGATTGGCTATAAGGTAAAACGAAACGGCCTATGAGGTGCCTACTCTGTGCTAGGTGACCCTGACATGTTCTCACTCATTCACTCACTGACCTCACAGTAGAAGACAGATCCTGCCCGTAGCCTCTCATGATCTATCCTTCAGACATTTCCCCAGCACTTCCTTGGTACCCAGCAGACATGCAGTGACCAAGACAACCAGGGCCCTGCCCTTCAAGGGCTCACCTGTCCCCAGACAGTGATGACTCAAAGTGAGTGAGATGACTGGGACCAGGGAGGCAGGAGGCACCTCATTTAGCCTGGGAATCAGAGAGGGCTTCCTGGAGGAGGAGACAGATGAGCCGAAAGTTTTGAGGGGGAGGCATGGTAATCCAGGAAAATCAGACCGAGGCTCTAACACCCTTGCTGCCCAGCATGTTTCTTCCTCAGAACCTCACATCCATTCTTTCGTTCCTTAGAGCCTTCCCTGCCCTTCCCACCTTCTCTCCTCGGTGGGCTCCGCTTATGCGTAGCGCAATCCTCGGCCTTGTCCTCAGACCTCTTCTGTCCAAGCCCAGCTCCAAGCCTCTCCTTCCTCACCTGCCCCTGCCCCAGCTTTTTCCACCCGTCTCAGTATAACATCCAAGCCCCTGCCCGAGCCCCGCCCCCATATGAGCCCCGCCCACGTTAAAGCTCCGCCCCCCGGCTCGAGCGGGTCACGCTGACCCCCGCGCCCTCCGTCCCCGCAGCTCTGATGGAACAGGAGGCGACGCAGCGCGAGGCCGAGGAGCTGCAGCGCGTGCAGTGGCGGCCGCGGCCCGTGAGCGGCTGGGGCTTCCCGCGGCTGCTGTGGTACCTGGTGTTCCTACAGCCGATCATCACCGAGGTACACCTGCGCCGCAAGAACGTCAAGTTCCTCTTCATCCGCTTCAGCGCTTGGCAGTACGCGGGCACCGACAAGCTGTGGGCCGGCCTGGTGACCACACTGTGCGAGAGCATCCGCCACCACTACGGCGCGCTGCCCTTCAGCGTGTACTCTGTGCTGGGCAACAAGCCAGCCACGACCGCCGGCTTCCGCCAGCGCGAGTGGCATTGCCGGCGCCGCGTGTGCCTGGGGCTGGTGGCTCTCCTGGCGGCGCTGGGGCTCGGGGTGGCCCTGCTCTACTTGTCGCTGGGCTCCCACGCGCTGAGCCACGGCAGCGGCAATAGCAACGTGATGCGGGTGTTCGGCGGCGCGGCCACCACGCTGTCGGGCTCGGGGCTGCTCATGGCCGTGTACTCGGTGGGCAAGCACCTGTTCGTGAGCCAGCGCAAGAAGATCGAGCGGCTGGTGTCGCGCGAGAAGTTCGGCAGCCAGCTGGGCTTCATGTGCGAGGTGAAGAAGGAGGTGGAGCTGCTCACCGACTTCCTCTGCTTCCTGGAGATCTACCAGCGGCGCCGGCTGCGCATCGTGCTGGAGGTCACTGGGCTGGACACGTGCTACCCCGAGCGCGTGGTGGGCGTGCTCAACGCCATCAACACTCTGCTGTCCGACAGCCACGCGCCGTTCATCTTCATCCTGGTGGTGGACCCCAGCATCCTGGCCGCGTGCCTCGAGGCCGCCGGCTCCATGAAGGGCACCGCCGACAACGGCTACCACTTCCTCAACCGCACGGTCACGCTGCCCTTCTCTGTGCCCATCATGGGCCGCCGCACCAAGCTGCAGTTCCTGCACGACGCCGTGCAGAGCCGCGACGACCTGCTCTATCGCGAGATGACGCGACAGCTGCGGCCGCCGCGCGCGCGCTGCGGCGAGGGCGCGCAGCTGCTGGCGGTGGAGGTGCAGGTGCAGGCGCAGGCGCAGGCGCAGGCCGAGCGCACGCAGGGCCGCATCGACGCCGAGGCCACGCGCCGCATCCAGGAGGCGCTCTTCTGCCTGCACAACGAGCGCGACTGCCTGTACGAGTACGTGCCCGACAACGTGGTGTCCATGCGGCGCATCGTCAACACCGTGCCCATCACTGTGCGCCTGCTACAGCAGCAGCAGCAGCAGTGGGACTTCGGAGGCCCCACGCCGCGCCAGGCCGTGGCCTGGGTGGTGCTCGCCAACCAGTGGCCCTGCCGCCTCAGCTGGGCGCTGCAGTGCCTGGAGGACCGGCAGCAGTCCGGGGGCGCGCCCGAGGCCCGCGCGCTTCTCTGGGACGTGTTCTGCGACAATAGTCGCGAGCTGCACACCATGACCAAGGCGCTGCAGAACGTGCTTGACCTGGACGGTGACCCCGAGCTCTTCGAGCGCTTTTTGGGTGCCGACTTCCCCTTTACGGTGGCCGAGGCTCAGAGCCTGCTGCGCTGCACCGTCAACCTGGACCACTCCATCCGCCGCCGCATGGGCCTCATACGAGCAGTCAAAACTCTCAATCCGCCCAGCTCGCCCGAGTCCCCAGCCCGCGATGCGCCCCGCGCGGCCGCTGGAGCCAACCACGCCCCCGGGGCAGCCCGCGCCGCCAACGGAGCCAACCACGCCCCCAGGGCAGCTGGGTCAGGCCACACCTCAGGGCACAGCCCAGCGCATGTCAACGACGCCCGCCACCCCGTGGGGCACGGCCCCGCGCATGCCAGCGAAGCCCACCACCCCGCGGAGCACGGCCCTGCGCATGCCAACGAAGCCCTCCTCCCTGCAGGGCACGCCCCTGCGCATGCCAGTGCAGCCCGCCACTCCCCGGACTTGACGCGTGACGGCCAGCAGAGACACGCAGCTTGCGCTCTGCGGAATGCAACTTAGAAGGAGGGACCCTGGGGGCAGCAGGGGCAACAGCTCCTCCGTCAGCCCAGATGAGGCCGTGCGTAGGCAACCCGACTGGGCCCAAGGCCCAGGGTCCATCCAGTGTTAGGAACGAGGCCACATTCCGCAGGTGAATCTGTGAGCCGGAGAGCTGCCGTCAGTGCCAAAAGTTGGCATTGAAGGACCACTGAGGAACTCAGGGTTCAAGTGCGATAAATAAAGGTGTGAAAGCCATTGATGGGTCTTCAGGACCTGGTCTCCCTGGTTCAGCAAGGGCTGGGGATGAGGGCTGCCCTCTCTTGCCAAGCCCACTTCCTCCCCAGGGAGTCAGCAGTGTCAGCTGGCAGCCTCATGGCTGGCGTCCCTGGAGCAGGCGGGGCTGTCGGGGGTGTTGGGCGAGGCCCATGCAGGAAGATGTGCAGCATTGACGCAGGCAATGGAGAACGCCCAGGCCTTGGGGTATCCAGGTCCTTGTCCCCACACCCTAGCTTACCCCTCTGTGGGCGGGGCAGGAGCTGGCATTTCCAAGAGCGGTATTCAGCGTGACCTCAGCGGGCTGCTCCACCCTCGAGGTGGCTCCACCCCAGCATAATGGGTTAATGAGGCCTCGCTGGCACCTCAGCCAGCTGGGTGAGCAGCACTGCCTCCCAGGACAGAATTCAGGGCGACCTCATGGGCCCCTTGATGAGGACACAGAAGATGAGGAGCAGAACTGGGCACCTGTAGGACACAGAGTGGGTGCCAGAACCAAGCCAAGCTGCAGGTTATCCTAGGCAGGACTCTGCATCGTCTGCCCTTCCCATCGGTGGGCCAGACGCCTCAGATGGGGCATCACTCCTCAGGCCAGCTTCCCACTCCTTGCCGGTCAAACAGCCACACGCTCAGGCTGGTGGTGTGCCCGGCCCAGTCCGGGGGGAAGGGGAGACCAACACTTAATGCGCCCCATGTGTCCAGAGGTCGAGGGCATGAGCAGGGAAAAGCATGTCGAAGAACGAAGTCTTGAAGAGACACAGGGGACCTCGCTGACACCATCAGATCTGTGTCTCTGTAGACATGCCATTGGAGCCACTCTATGGCCCTTCCCTTTCGCCTCCCTTAAGCCAGTGTGCCTTAGGCTGTTCCTTACCACCTAGAGTCCAGGCGGAAAACAGACCGGCACCAGGAGTGCTGTGGGAGGCAGGATCACCCCACGGACTTGGCTGGAGGTTGGGAGCAGGACTGAGGACCCCCAGCCCGAGGAAGAGGCTGCAGCCCCATTGTGGTCTCGAGCAGTGGTCAAACTGTCGCCTATTTATCTGACCATGTGCATGCCAAAGCTAGAGTTTTGGGAGACTTAAAAAAAAAAAAAAAAGACATGGATCCATAGTGGAGCGGTCAGCATGTCTGCTTTACACGCAGAAGGTCCTGGGTTCACGCTCCAGTGGAGCCACGGTCCATGGTCTACGGCCATGCCACCCTGAACAAGCCCGATGTCTGATCTCGGAAGCTAAGCAGGGTCGGGCCTGGTTAGTACTTGGATGGGAGACCACCTAGGAAGACCAGGTGCTGTAGGCATGCATGCGTGCATAAACACCTAAACCAAAACAGGATGGCATAGGGGACGGGTGTAGCCAAGATGGCTCACTGCCCACGAGGATTCTCGGTCCCCTCTACAGTGTGGAGCTTTTGCTGGAACTTACAGCCAGGTGAGGCCGAGGGGCTAGTTCTCACTGGCAAAAAGGGAGTGAGAGTGATGTGTGTGCCTTTCCCACCGTGCCATCGAGTTAAGAAGCAAGTTTTTCTCCATTTTCCTTCCCCATCTTCCCCCTGGATGCAGCAGGCACCCTGAGGCCTTAGGGGGTAGCAAAGCCACGAGAGGGAGGGGGCCCCTGGGTGCACAAGTAGCTTTGTGGAGAAAAGCTGCCTGCCACCCTGAACACACACATGTGAAAATGACACTTGTGTTAGGGCATCGAGATCTTTATGAATGGATACAGTGTCTAGCCAAGTGCTAAAACGGACTGTCTTTGCAAGCTCCGGTCGGTGATGCTTGGGTGGCTGAAAGTGAAGGGACCCCAGCCCTTGATCTAGGACCCCCAAAAGATGGACAAGCAAAAGCCCCGAGGAGTTGATCTGTTAAGTCTCCTGGGGGCTGCTGTCACAAAATCCCACAAGCCTGGCGGCTGAGAACAGAAACACATTCTCTCACAGTTCTGGTGGTTAGAAGTCTTAAGTCAAGGTGTCGGCAGAGCCTCGCACCCTGGGAAGCCTGCAAGGCCCCCTCGCTGGGCTCCTCCAGCTTCTAGTGCTGTGCCGGCCGTCTGGTGTCCCTTGGCATGTGGCTGCATTTCTGCATCTTCACATCACCTTCCCTCTGTGTGTCTGCCTCAATCTCCCCCATTTTATAAGGTCACCAGTCACATTATATTAAGGTCCACCCTGTAACTTCATTTTAACTTGATTACCTCTGTAGAGACCTGTTTCCAAAGGCCCTGTTCTGAGGTCCTGGGGTCAGGACTGCACATATCATTTTATTTTGGGGGCGGGGGGAGCATGGGGGACACAATTCAATCCTGAATAGTTGGAAAGAACCTGTTCCTCACTCCTAGCTAAATTTAGTGCAAGAGCAGGGACAAGGCTGGCAACAGGACCCCAGCCCCTCATGGGCGCCACACGAGGGACAAGTTGAGCTCTGCCACCCCCAGCGCAGCTTGGTCACCAGCGTGGAGGTGGAGGCAGAGGGCAAAGGGGATGGGTAAGCACCCACCGTGCTGCTAAGGGCCGAAACCCTTCAGGGGAGTTGATTCCTGGGCAATGGCTAGAACGGACCACAAGCCGACTGAGATCTGGGGAAGCTGTACCAACAGACCCCAACCTGGCAAAGGACTGTAGCTCCTCAGCACCCTGAGGCCAACCTAACGCTCCCCAGTGACACCAAGGGGGCTGACGGCCCCACCGCACACCTGGTCACAGAACCGGGGGCCATGCAGGCGCCTCCTCAGCTGCCTGGGGGGTGGGCTGGGGCAGGTGCTAGGGGCTTCCCTGAGCTCCTTGCCCAAATAGGAGTCCTAACTGTGGGTGTCCTGGGGGGCAGTCAACACACACAGCTGCCAGGCCAATGACTGAAGAGCAAACCGACAGAGGCCTAGAGATACCCGGGCAGCTGGGGACACAGATCCCTGGGTTTGTGATAGCAGCTGAGTGGTAACAGGGCTCCTGGCTGGTGACACTGTGATTCTCACGGTCTCTCCACCACCTCCACCCACCCCGTGTCAGTCTCCCTTGCAGTGAAGAAAGGACTGGCGCGAAGCCTTCCCCTTGGGGGTTCTCTCGTTTTCTGAAGGGTGAAGCTTAGAGTTCCCAGAAATGCCCCATGAGCCCCTGGCTGCACCCTTGGCGCATCCTGACAAGGGGGAGCGAGCCACCTCCGGCTCCAGTGGCACTGACTTGAGCCCCGGGGCACACTCCCACCGGGCTTCCAGGGCCACCAGGGATGGGCTGGTGTCTGTTCTCCGTGAGCCACAGGTGACTGGGCAGAGGACTGACCTCTGAACCCAAGCACCACACCTGTCGCCCAGAGAAGCCAGTCCTGAAGCTGGAGAACATTTGAGGGGTCGTGTCCCTCCAAAGAAAGGCAGCTGTGAACTGGACCAGATACCCGAGCTATGTGAGGTCTGAGTGCGTGGACACACGTAGGGAAGGGGCAGCCTCCCGGTGTCCCTTTGGGGGACCACGGGCATGTAGCCGAGCAGGTACTCCAGAACCGGCGCTGTCTGGCCCCCACCCTCCCCGCTCCCTGGGCCCAGAAGCCCCGCAGGGGGCACTCAGGACCGGCGCCAGCAGAAGGGAGCAGGCGAATGGTGAACCCAGCTCCGGTTTATTAGAAAAGGTGAGAACAGAGTTGCACCGACAGGAGCAGCCTCTCCCCCGCCCCTGTAACCCCCCCTCCCACCGTGTCCCCTGCCCTCCCCCAGGTTGTAGTGCCTCTCAGGGCACAGCCTCAAGTGGCCTGGACAGCGGGGTCTCCAGAACCCCGGCTGCTCCCCACCCAGCTCCCTGATAGATTTATTGCACTTAAGAAAAAGAAAGCTCTGATGGTCTACTCCCATCCCCCCACCCCGGCCCTCGCCCTGTGGGCTGCTCCGCCAAGTTCAACCACCACCATCTCTCCGCCCCTCCCGCACCGCACCGCACACGCTCCTGCCTCATCCCGAACCAGGGCCACCGCGGGCCACCCCGCCACCACCCAGGACTCCTGCCCTCCACAGGGGCAACCCTGACCCAACGGGGCCCTCCGGAAAAGTCGCCTGGCCTTGTGACCGATGTCCTCAGAGCCTCTTCCTCTCCCCATGCACCCCCAGCTTGGTCGTCAGGTGCCAAACACATAAATAGAAGTGCTTAAGTCAGGGTGCGGTGGGGTGCTCCCCGTAGCTCCTGCACCCCGTGTAGTGTTGCTGTGGGGAGCAGGGGTCCCCAGAAAGGCACCCCGCACCCCTGGAATCCTGGGCCTCAGGAAGGCTGGGGTGAGGGTGAGTGGATTCTCATGGCTCTGGCCTCAGCTCATCGAAGACCAACTGGAAAAAAGGAACTTGGGGAGAAGAGATTGGGGGGACCTGTCAGCCAGGGACTCTATCGCCGGCTCCCCGGTGCCCTGGGCCCCCAGCCCCCATCTCACCTAAAGTGTCACAGTGTCTCCTGTCCCGATTCCTGACTGGCTTCCAGAAGCAGCTCCTCGAGCTCCTTCTCATTCTTGGAGCAGCTCAGTTCTGCGTGGGGAGCACGTGGGGGGCTCCAGTCAGGCAGGTGGGGAGGGCGTGGCGGCCCGACCCTCGGGGCAGCACAGGGCCAGGGCACCACTGAGGTCGCACTCCGGCCAACCGCCCTGCGTGCCCGGGCCAGGGAAGCAAGGTGGGGACGAGGACCAAGTGGCACTCCTCCCTGCCCCTTCAGGGGCCAAAGAGCGGGAAACTGAGCGCTGCTACTGGGTAGGGGTCACACACGGCATTCGGGCCCCTTGTCACCCGGCCCCAGAGCTCCTCTCACCATGTTCCAGGCCGCAGCTGCCTGCCTTGGCCTCGGGCCCCGGGGGCGGCTCTGGCGGCAGCGCGAGCGCGAACTCGGGCTTCAGGCCGTTGGGCAGCAGGGGCCCCGGCTGAGGCTCAGACGACCCTGGGTGCGGAGTGCTGACGGCCTCAGCGGGTGGCAGGGCAGGCGCGGTGGGAGGGGAGGGAGGACAAGGAGCGCAGGGTGGCGCGGGGGGCTCTGCTCTCTCGGGCGGGCTCTCCACCCGGGTCACCACGAAGACTTTGTGGCCCCGGCCCGGGCTGGACACAGAAATACGCTGCTCGGTGGGGGAGGAGGGGCTGCCTGGGGGGCTCCTGTCCCCAGGGGCCAGGGAGTCCGTGGGGGGCACCGGGGCAGGGCAGGGGGCCACAGCCCTCTCCCCATCCTCCTCCTCCCCGTCCTCCCCCTCAGAGTCCGAGTCTGAGTCTGAGTCCAGGCGGGGCCCGGGGCCCGGGGCCCCGTTCTCCTGTGCCTCGGCGGCGGGCTCGTGCGCGGGCGCGCCCGGCTGGGGCTCGGTGACGGTGATCTCGGGCATGGAGGCCGACAGCTGCAGCCGCTGCTCCTTCTCCTCGCGCTCTCGCGCCAGCACGAAGTTGCGCTTGCAGCCGTTCTGGATCTCGGCGAGCAGCGCCTTCTGCGTCTCGATGAAGCTCTTCACCTGCGGGCGGAGCGGGCCTGGCTAGGGCTCTGGGCCACCCGTCCCTGTGGCAGGCCCTGCGGTCACCCCAGGCCAGCCTGCCCCCCGCGCCCTTGGGGAGGCTGCAGGGGAGCGCCCGCTCACCGCCTCCTTCTTGGGCTCGCGGTCGAGGTCCAGGCGCAGCAGGGAGTGGTTCACCTTGAGGGCCAACGACAGTGCCATGAGCCCGCCCGTCTTGATCTCGTTCTCCCGCAGGTCCAGTCTCAGGAGGCGGGGGCTCTCGGCGATGAACTCCGCCACCGCCACCGCGCCTGGGAGGGGGACCGCAGGGGCTGGCCACGGGCCCTGGCCCCG